TCCCATTCCCTGCGAGCTCCAGGATGGGGAAAACCCTATCAGTACCCCCCCAGCAGCACCCAGGAGGACAAATTCCACACAGGGCAGCATTCTGTAGCTCCCCCTTCCTCTCCCTCTGCATCCCCAGCTCCAAGGTCTTGCTCCGAGCCCTCCATCCCGCCGTTTTTATGGCTCATGAATGCTTCCAGGGGGTGACTCATCTCCCGAGGTACCAGCCTAAAATAGGTCGTGCCGGCAGAGGAGAAACCGCCACCCCAACGGGGATTTGGGAAACGGCACAACACCCCTTGAGGGCTGGAGAAAAGGCCCTGGGGCAGTTCCCAAAGGCCGGAATTCCACCATGGGGGATTTTACCAGGACGAGATAGCTGTAGTAGTTGAAGTTGGAGCGGTAGAGCCCGTTGAGGTTGAGGTCCACGATGAAGGCCACGATTCCCAGGAGCGCGAAGATGGCACTGATGACGTTCATGGTCTGGCTGCCCTTCACCTGCGGGCACCCAGGGGGCTTTGGGAGGGGGTGGCAGACCTCCCCTCCCTAAAAATCCCAGAGGGACACCCCACCCCATGGGCTCACTCCCGGTGTGCTCCCAGGAAAACTCACCGCACATTCCGTGGGGCTCTTCTCAGCGCCGATGGAGAGGCACCCAGAGATGATGAACTGCAGCAGGAAAGACGGGGCTCAGCTGGCACTGAGGGCACTCCAAGCACCCCAAACCTGCCCAGAGGTGGCACTAATGGGGCACATGGGACACGGTGACCCCCCCTGCCCTTGTTTTCCAGCTGCCGAGGCCTTGGGAGCTGCAGGTGCATCATTCCTGGTGGGCATCCCTTCCAATGCGTGTCCCACCTGCTGGCATGACCCCCAGCAGGATTCTCTTCCCCATGAGCATTGTTCCCTGGTGAGATTCCCTTCCTGGTGGGCATCCCACCCCCCTAGCCACTCTTTCCTGGTGGGTATCCCTCCCTGGCGGGCATCTTTTCTCGGTGGGCATCCCTTCCCAGCCCCCTGGCACACACCGACACGCCGCCCAGGAAGGGGATCTCTCCGATGACGAAGACGGAGGTGTAGACATTGGTGAGCGTGGTCAGGACGATCCCGAAGCCGATGTGCAGGAATCCCGTCATAATCTGGATGGTCTGGAAGAGCGGGATGGATGGGAATGGGGTCAACTCAACCCTCCCCGCCCACAGAGCAACCCTGGGCATGGGGGATGCCTTAATCCCAGCGTCTCTCCAGAGCCACAGCATCCCCTGAGGGATCAGCAGGAATCCCCCGGGAATGAGCTGAGGGTAGATTTTCCAAGGGTTTCTCCTCCCGAACTCCGTCCGCCCGCCGCCCCTAAACTCACCCCCATGACGCGGTTCTTGCCCTTGGGGAGGGTCTCCGCCGTGTACATGACGGCGCGGCTGCCCAGCCGGAGGCTCCCCATGCCCTGCATGAGGAGAGCGGGGGGCACCGGGACCCCCCGGAGCAGCCCCGGTCCCCACCGGGGCCGCCCCCGCCCCACCCCGCCACAGCCCGCGCCCATTGGCTGAGCGCCGTGACGTCAGCGGCTGCGGCATTCCCCCCCCGGGGCACCGCCCAGCCCACGGGGGGACACGGGGGGACACGGGGCGATGGAGGGGACAGCCCCCCAGAACCCGGGGAGGGGCGGGAAGTGGGGCTGCGTGGGGCTGGGAAGATGCTCCGTGGGCTCCCCCGGCTCTGGGGGACTGCGCGGGGTGTGGGGAAATTCCCGGTGATGTCCCCCCATTCCGGGCAGGGCTCCAGGACACCGGGTTCCCGCCGGGAAGAGCTGCTCATCCCAAACCCACATGCAAGGGAGTTAAGGAGATTGGGGTGCTAGCCCTGCCCCGAAAGTCCCCCTCCTCAGGCTGCCTGTCTCCCCCGCCTCATTCCCGCTCCTTCCAGCTCCACGCCGTGTTTACAGGGGCGCAGAAAGAAAGAAAAAAAAATTAAAAACAACAACAACAAAAACAAACCAAAAACCACCAAACCACGCCGCAGCAGATTCCTGGAAGAAAAATCCATCAAGGGCCATTAGGCTCCTGCGGCTCCTCCCCGCAGAGCGGGGGCACGGGCGCGGGGGGGCGGCACCCAGGACGCGGAGCTGGGCACTGCCCAGGCACGATTTCACCTAGATCCTCTTCCCTAGGGAGGGGTGGGCCTGAGTATCCTGGATCTGGTCCGTGTTGCAGGAGGGGAGGAGTAGAGGGGATGCCCCACACTGATCCCCCAAACTTTCCCCCCCAGCTGTCTTCATTCCCCATTTTTAAGGTGTCCAGCCCCGAAGAGAAGGAGCCAAGAGCTCCAGGCAGAGGATTAAACCTGAAGTCAGGGAATAATAAACATCCCGGGAATGAGGGGGGGCACACGATACCACTCTGCACCCCAAATTCATGGAGGACACCCCTGTTCTCCATCCTGATCCAGACAACACCACATCCCCCCGCATGGAGAGATCCCATCATGGAGTTCGCAGGGCACGGGAGACTCAGGATCCTGAGAGGAATCTGGGGCTCTGGGAGGGACTCCCCATTTCCCTGGAGCAGTAACATTCCACAAGCCCTCTGGCCAAGTGGAGGACATTCCTGTGCTGGATGCTGTCCAGGAGGAACTGTGGGAAGGAGTGGAATTGGGGCTGGGAGTGTCACCCAGCTCAGAGCAGGGGACCGAAAACCCACGGGGCTGACGGGGTCGCCTCACTCCCACCCTACACCATCTCCTTCAGGGACACACGGTGTCCCCATTCCTCACCTCCAGGGTGGTCCTGCAACTCAGAAGGGGGTGCTCCAGGGGCTGTCCATCCCTGTCAGCACTGGTCACCCCGCAGCCGGACCCCAGCTCCCCACCGGCCACTCGGCTTCCCAGGACAGCGGCCGGCACTGAGAGCCACATGCGGCCACTGGTGACAGAGACTGGCACAAGCAGGGCTGGGACAGGGATTTGGGGATCCCAACGGTCCTTCCCGCCATACCCAGGGGACCCACCCAGGGGTCACCGCCCTGTCCCTTTCCCCAGGGAGGGCAGCCAGATCCCCCAAACACCCCCTCACCCAGAGCACCTCCTGTGCGGAGGCTGGGGCTGCAAGGAACAACACAAAGCACCTTCTCCTGGGAGCCTCCATCGGGATAGGGATGGAAAAAGAGAGAGGACCTCCCCCAACAATGGCTTTAACACTGGGAGGAGGGTGCTGTCCGTGGGTCTCCCAGTGGGAAGCTGGATGGGGTGGGCTCACCCCTTGCACCCACCTGGGGCTCCTTTCCAGGGTCTCCCAGGGATTTGACCCTGGACACTCATCCCACCTTTCCCAGCAGAAAACAAGGACTGTCCCATGGGACACTGGAAAGTCCCTGAGGAGGGCAACCAAAACACCCATGCGTGATCCACAGTATTCTAATCCTGAATCCAAACTCGGCTGTTGGGAAGAAAGGAGCCCTATCTCAGCCCAAACGCGGTTCTTTGGGGAAATGCTGATTTATTTACAACAGAGCATCCTCAGAAGTATCTGAGCGGCCAATAGGAGCCTCATCTGGCTTGGAGGAGCTCCCCGGAGATGGGGGAATTCCAACTCCCTTTGCCTCTGGAGGATCTTGGACTCCGAGCAGCGGGTGTTCCTATCTGGCTGCACTGCAGTGCTGTGGGAGCTGTGGATCGGCCGCCTGCGGCTCCAGGACACTTCCTGCTGTGCCACTCGCTGCTGGGAACTCCTCACTGGAGCAGGCTGGGCTCCCAGTTTGACTTCCAGGCTCTTCTTGGCCACGTGCATCCTCAGGACTGAGCGGGTTCCGCTGATATCCGCGGATTCCGGGGAACACGGAGAGCTGTCCGTGGCATCTTCTCCGCTGTCCACAGTCTGGCAGCTCCCACTGAGGCTCGAGGAGCATGGGAGGCTCTCCGAGGAATGGAGTGACGCTTCCCGCTGCACCAGTTGCTCCTGGGAACGCCTCACTGGAACGGGCTGGGCTCTCAGCTTTACTTCCAGGTTCTTCTTGGCCACGTGCATCCTCAAGGATGACAACTTTCTCCTCATGCCCACAGCTCCAAGGGAGCAGCAAGATCTGTCCACGGGGTCTTCCCCATCCGGAGTCTGGCAGCAGCCACTGAGGCTCCGGGAAGGATGGAGGCTCCCAGAGGAGCTGAAAGAGCAGGAGCAGGAGGAGGAGGCGCAGCAGGGCAGGTGGCCTCGCTCCAGCAGCTGCCCCAGGTCCTCCCACAACAGCTGCCACATCTCTGAGTCCTGCGGGAAGGACACCCCGGGCCACAGCGGTGTCACCAGGTCCTGCAGCTCCCGGGCCGCTGTCGCACAGGGGGTGCAGCCGGGGCCGCAGCCACAGGGGATGTACAGGGGGCTCCCGGGGGCAGCCGGGCCGTGGGGAGGGGTCTCCTCAGCCGGGGGGGAACCGGGAACCTCTGGAGTCGCTCGGCTGCGCCGGGACCCCCTGGCCCGGCCCCTGAGGCGCTTCCGTTCCTTCCAAATGCAGGTGGCCAGCAGGACGGCTGTACTGGCCACCAGCAGGACAAGCAAGGGGAGCAGGAAACTCATGGCTTCATCCATGTCCCATCTTGGCCACACTGGGAGCCAGGAGTGGTGGCACATGTCCTGTAGAGACACCGTGCTGATGTCACAGTGCTGTGGATGGGACACCTGTGTGACGTCACAGCCCCGCCTCAGCCCGGCGCTCACCGCTTTTGTAACGTCACGGCCCCAGGTCGCCCATCCCGAATCCAAACTCAGCGCGGTGGCCGCTGCTGGGAGGAATATGAAACCTATCTCCGTAAACCCAGTACACCAGCCCAGCACAAAGGCTGGGAGGACATCCAGGCCATTTCCAGCACCTCCTTCGGGACCCTCGGGGGTGTCCCCCGCCGGCGACCCCCGCCCGGTACGGCGGTGGGAATAGGTTGCGCCGCGTTTCCCTCCGGAACTAATGTTCCCGCCGCGCTTCCCGCCCGGACCACGGGCGGCACGTGATTGGGGACGGGCCAATGGCGGCGCCCTTGCGGCACTTCCGGCGTGTCCCGGCGATGTGGCGATGGCGGCTCCCGGGGCCGCTCCGGGCCGGGGGAGGTCAGGGGGGCTTGGCCGCGCTCCGAGGGCCCGCCTGTACCTTGTGGGGGGTTCAGAAGGCCGGGGGGGACCTTCCCGGGAGCCTGGGGATCGCGGTGGAGGGGGACTCGGACGGGCGGTGCAAGGGTTGACCCCGGAGAGGTACCGAGGGTCCCGGTGGGACTCCCGGCTGGGCTGTGGTGGTTTGGGGGGGATATTGAGACCGGGAAGGGGAGGCCCTGCGGGGACCCTCGTCCCCTCCCGGCCCTGCCCGAGCCCCCCCCCGCTCTGTCCCGCAGGTCCCGGCGGCGTCGCGGTTCCCCGGGCGGGGCTCAAGAAGTTGGCGCTGCCCCCGGATTACAGCGGTGAGAGGAATGGGCGGCGGGAGAACCCCGCGAGGGCCGGTGGGGGCACTCCCCAGTCTGTTCCCGGAGATCCTGGTCCTGATGTTCCCCTGCAGGGATCACCATCCCGGAGAAGCCGAAGCTGAAGTTCATGGACAAGGTGCCGGCGGTGCCCAAAGTCCGGCGGGAGCCCCGGCGGCTCCGTGACATCCGTGGCCCGTCCCAGGAGGCCACCGACTTCACCCAGGGGCAGTACGGGATCCTGGTGAGCGGGAACAGGCACGGAACGGATCGGGGGGAGAATTCCAGAGGCTGGGATCGCGTGTCCCTGTTCCCAGGCAGAGCGCAGGAGCCTCCGTGTCCCTGAGCTGTCCCACCCTGTCCCTCCACAGGCTTTGGGCGGGGGGTACCTGCACTGGGGCCACTTCGAGATGATCCGCCTGACCATCGGCCGCAGCATCGATCCCAAATCCATGTTTGCCGTGTGGCGCGTGCCCGCCCCCTACAAGTCGGTGACGCGGAAAAGCCTGGGACACCGGATGGGGGGCGGGAAGGGCCCCATCGACCACTACGTGACGGCGGTGAAGAGCGGGAGGCTGGTGCTGGAGGTGGGCGGGCGCTGCGAATTCGGGGAGGTCCGGCCCTTCCTCGCCCGCGTGGCGCAGAAACTGCCCTTCCCGGCCGTCCCCGTCAGCCGGGAGAGCCTCCAGGAGATGCGGCGGGAAGAGGAGGAGAAAAGGCTGAACAACCAAAATCCCTGGACTTTCGAGCGTGTGGTGACCTCCAACATGTTGGGGATGAGGAAGTACCTGAGCCCCTACGACCTGCAGCTCAAGGGACGCTACTGGGGCAAGTTTTTCCTGAAGCACAGAGTGTGAGGAGCGTCTGGATTGGATTCCTTTTGGAATTAAACTTTTCACAAGAGCCTGGAGTAGGTTTTGGAGCTGGGAATGCAGGGCTGGGAGCATCCTGAGGGATAGATAGATCAGGGTTTGAGGCATGAGGATCTTTATCCCAAGGTGGGGTTTGGAGCTGGGGGATAAATGGATCGGGGTTTGAAGCACGAGGTTCTCTATCCCAAAGTGGATTTTAAGAGCTGGGAGCATCCTGAGGGATCCACGGATCAGGTTGGAGCCAGGAGGCAGAGTGTGGGTGAGCTCTTTATTGAGGAGGAAGGCTCCAGCATGGGTGGCTGCACATCCAAGGAGCTCCAAGCACAGGAAGAGGCTCCTCCGGCCGCCCCGGCAAGGCAGAGCCCTGTGTCCCCCCCGGAGAGGGACACGGCCCCTCCGGCCGCTCCGTGCCACCGAGGAGGGGCTGCTTGTCACAGCGGCCACCGACTGTCACCCGAGTGGAGGAGGAGGAGGAGGAGGAGAGAGGGGACCTTGGCGCTGGGAGGGGAGTGGGGGGTGCGGTGGGAGGGCTCCACTCCTCCAGGGACACGTGAGATGTCCTCGGGGCTCCGGGGATCGGGGCTTGGCCGGGATCTCTCCAATGGATCATCTGGGCAGGGGGACAGGAGGGGGAAAGGCCACCTGTGACAGGGAAGAAGATGAGGTGACACTCAGGAAGGGGACGTGGCTCCTAGTGCTGTCACCATCCCCATCCCTCCCCAGTGTGGCAGCCTGGGGACACTCAGGGTGAATACAACCCCAGCAAGGCCTGAACCCGCTCCCTGGGATTGGGGTGTACCAGGGACCCCCCCGTGCCACCCCCAGCCCTGTCCCTGTCACCTGGAGGGCAGCGGGTGGGGAGCTCAGGCAAAGATGCTCCCGATGCTGGCTGCCAGGATGATGGCGAGGATGATGCAGCACACCATGATCATGATCTTCTTCTGCTCGGGGAGACAGGGAATGTGAGGCAGGGACACTGCTGGGGAGGGGGACAGGGACAGGGAATGGGCTGGGGAGGAACACAGGATAAGGATGGGGCTGGGGAGGGGGGCAAGGAATGGGGAGGGGGGCAACAAGGATCGGGGCTGTGGAGTGGGGAGAAAGGACAGAGATAGGGCAAGGGACAAGGACAGGGGCTGGGGAGGGGACAGGGAAGGTGGCAGGACAGGTATGAATGAGCTGGTTCTGTGTAGCACAGAGAGTTGACAGTGCCAGCATGCTCTGGGACAGGTGACCAAACACTGTGACTTACCCAAAAACTTGGGGCGGGGGGGGGAGTGTCTTGACAGGGCCGGGAGTTGGGGGTGTCCCCAGCCCCGTGCTTCCCCCTCGTGTCCTACAGCACCGGGAAACGGGGCCGGTCCAGCCCCCAGATTCCCGAACACCGCGAGCCGAGCCAGAGCCGTGCCGGTGGCTTTGGGTGTTCCCGGTGCCAGCACGGAGAGGAGGCGCAGGGCGGGATCAGCGGGATTTTATTACAATGGGAGTTAAATACCCACGATCAACACATCCTCCCGCCCGGACATCAAAGCCAAGAGGGGATGGGGACCCCGACAGATCCGTCTGTCACAGCACGGTGACAACAAACCACGCTGGTGCCACCAAACCCCGTGTCCTGTCCCTTTTCTCGCCCTCATTCCACCGGGACGCCCGCGCAGGCGAGCGCCCGGCCCTCGGATTTGTGTCCTTGTCACCCTTCGCTGGGGCTGTGGCACCGGTGGCCGAGTCCCAAGGGGACGGACGGAATCGGAATCCAGTCCCTTTTCGTGGGGACACGAGGAGCAGATCCCAGGGAGCGGCAGGATGGGCGGGAAAGGCAGCGGTGGAACCCGCGGCGGGAACCGGGACACGGAGGGCTGGGAGCAGCAGGTCCGGGAGGAGCAGGGAGAGGAGGGGTCCAGGATCCCGCCGGGACGTGACATCGCTGGGATGGTCGGGAGCGTCTGGAGGAGGGAAAGGGGAGCTGGAGATGCCGGCAGGGAAGGGGATGGGGTCTGCAGCAGGAAGGAGGGAGCGGGGATGGCAGAGATGGATGTGAGGAAGAGAGAAAATCCAGAGCCTGGAGCAACACAGATCCCCAAGGAATGCAGACCCTCGAGCAACACAGACCCTCAAGCACTGCAGACCCCAAAAAATGCAGACCCCATACAGCAGAAACCCCTGAGCACCAGAGACCCCTGAACATCACAGACGCCTGAGCGCTGCAGACCCCCAAAAAACACAGACCCCAGAGCACCAGGGGCCCGCAGACATTGCAGACCCCCAAATACTGCAGACCCTCAAAGAACACCCTCAGCACTGCACACCTGAGATCACCAAACCCAGCACCCCAAATCCCAAATCCTAAAGCACTGGAGCCCCCCAAGCAGGAGATGACACGGGGATCCCCTAGGGCTCTGTGTCCCTGCAGTGGGGGTCCCAACACTTACAGACCCCTGCCCCAGGGGCTATTTCATGTTCAGCCCAACCGAGAGTCCAATGATGAGGGCAACTGTCCCCAGCAAGAGCACGGCCACTGCCACCAAAATCAGCAGCTTCTGGGGGAACAGGGGCGAGTTGGGGGTGGTGACACCTGTCCTGTGCAGGGGGACATGGGGGCAGAGCCAGAAGAGCCTGCAGAGCCCTGGGTCCTCGCCAGCTCATCACACCTGAGGGTGGGAGGGGGTGCAGGGGTGGCAGCGGGACAGAGAGGGACAGAGCTGCCATGGGGTCACTGCAGGGAAGTGGGAGCCACTGGGGTCAGCTGGGAGATATGAGGGGTGGCTGAGGGAGACAGGAGGTGACTGAGGGAAATAAGGGAATCTCAGGGCTGCTGGAGGACATGGGGAGGTGCTGGGAACACTGTGAGATGTGAAGGCACAATGAGGGCCAGAGGGGGACACTGGGGGTACCTCTGGGATGCTAGGGGCTACAGAGGGGACATTGGGGGCTACAAAGGGGACACTGGGGGCTATGGAGGGGACACGGGGGCTGTCGGTCTGTCTCACCCTCCTGGCCTCACTTTGGTACTTCACAGCCTTTTTGGTGTCAGCCACGGCCCGTTCCACGAACCCGACGGACTGGTCCATGTTGTTCTCTATGCGGTCGATCATGGCTCCCTAGGGAGCACCCGGGGGACATAGAGAGAGGGGGGGACACTGAGAGCACCCCGGGGTGCTGGCACCCACCCACCTGGCGTGCCTGTCCCCGGCACCAGACTGTCTCTGTGCTCTGCTCCACATGCTCGGCTCCACGTTATCCAGCAGCCCTCCCTGGGGGAGAAGGGACAGGGTTGGTGGGGACACGGTGACACAGCCCCACAGCACGTGGCACGCACTCACACGCAGGTACTCACCCATCCCCAGGGCACGCAGCAGCTCCTCACGTGGCATGGGGGACAGAGAGGGGCTGAGAGAGGGGACGGCACCACCACAGGGCGGGGGACACTCCTGTGTCCCCTCCCGGCCACCGTGGGGTGGTGGGTGGCTCCGTGGGAACACATGCAGTGGTAACCACCCCAGCCCATATCGCTCCATGCCTGGACCCCCTGTGCAGGTCCCTGGGCCACTCCACGGTCCCATGCAGGGCCCTGTGACCCCACACTCAGGTCCCTGCTTGTCCCTGGTCACCCTATGCATAGGTCCCTGCTCGTCCCCATATGTGGGTCCCTGCACATTCCTGTGACCCTGTGCCCAAATCCCTGCTCATGTCCGTGTCCCCATACACAGGTTATCCCTGTGACCCCACACCCAGGTTCCTGCTTGTCCCCATGCTCAGGTCCCTGTTCACACTGTCCACAGGTCCCTGCTCATCTCTGTGACCCCATGTCCAGGTCCCTGCTTGTCCCTGTGTGTTCCTGTGTCCCCACAGCCGGGTCCCTGCGTCACCCCGTACCTGGTTCTCCACCAGCATGGCAATGTCCACGAACATATCGTGGAGCTCCTTGATGCTGCTCTCCAGGCGCACGATGTCCTTGTGCCGCCCCTCGATCTCGCTCAGCGCCTGCTTCGAGATCTGCGAGTCCATGATCTGCAGGGGCAGGGGAACGTCAGCGGGGGGCCTGGCCCTGTGACACACCCCCGTGTCCCCTGGTGTCCCCCCCGTGTCAGGGCTCACCCCCGAGGTGAAGATGGAGGGGTTCCCACTCTCCAGCATCTCCTCCAGCTCCTCGTCCGTCGTGTTCTTGCCGGCTGCGGGCACGTGAAGAGCGATGGGGATGAGCCCCGCCCAGTCCGGGGTAAGGGGAGGGGTGGGGTCTGTATGGCCTGGCCCCACCCACTTAACTAAACTTGGTCAAATGGGAGGGGTCTGGATGAGTTGGTTTCTCCCACTTTATGAACGGGTGTGGGGTTGATGCCCAGGCCGTGCCCACCCACCCGCGGGGCTCGGTCACGCACTGATTTCCAGCTGGCGCTGGATCCGGCCCTTGCTCCGCTCCCGGAAATCCACCTGCGCCTCGTTGTACTTGGTCATGACATCCACGAACTTGCGGGACAGGACCGAGTGCTGGGGACAGGGACAGGGATGTGAGGATGGGGATGGGGATGGGGGCACCCCAGGGCATGGTGTGACCCTGGGGGACTGGACCTGCTCCTGGGAACGAGGACATGGAACACCCCAGGCATGGCATATCCCCATGGGCCATTTTCACAGAGGACAGGAACGAGGACAGAGGTGTGATGCTGCCCAGGGCACAAGATGAGGTGCTGGGGATGGGGACAGGAAGTCAGATCAGTGACACTCTGGGCATGGTGTGTAACTGATCCCGGGATGAACGGGACAATGAGAGCCAGGGGACCCTGGATATAGCATGTCCCAGGGCGACAGGACAGAATGTTGGGGACAGGGCAGAGGAACACAGTTCTATCCCCTGGGATCACAGGGGATAGAACTGGGGAGACTTGGGGACCCCTGGACATGCCACATCCCCAGCCCGTGGGAGACAGAGTGGGACCCGGGGACACTGGCTGTGGACCGGAGCTCACCTGGGACTTGCGTATCCGAAGGTCGGCGGAGGATCGTGCCTCATCCTGCTCGATGTTCCTCTCCATACCTGGAG